TTCAGAGTGATTTGTTAGGGGGACACCTCTGTTGAGGAGTCAGTTTAGTTTAAGACTCAAACACTGTGTTACCTCTTCTATTGTGTTAGCTGTTTTGCCTCAAAAGATCAGGTTTCTGGCTCCATGCCGCTGTGAGGTGAAGAGGTTTTCTGTGCAAAGCCAGGCGGTGAATCAGAGAAACAAGTGATTCATAGACTAGCAATATGACCTTGTGGAGCCAGAGTATACTTTGTTATACTCTGTATTCAGAATATACATTTTTACTGTATGTTTCTTTCTGTCAACCTAGTTTTAATTTTTTCATGCCTCTGTGCCTTGGAAAGCTTTATTTTATCTGTCCATGAATGACCCTGCTCTTTCCTCATTTTAAGACTCAGTGCAAAGTAACCTCTGCTTGGAAGCCCTTTTTATAAGATTTATCTTTCTAAAATGCATATCAGAACATGTTTGCAAACCTTGTGCTTAAAATATCACTGGTTTCCAGTTACCCTTAGGATAAAATGAAATGAAAAACTCTTAAAAGGGCTTAAAGGTCCTTCTTATCTAGTCCCTAGTCCCTGCTTGCTTCTCTAGCTTCATGTCTGATCACTGGCGTGTGCCTTCACTATGTGTTCCAACCAGAGGCTCTTTGCTTCTTAGAGGTCGTTCCCCATTCTTAGAATCTTAGAGGCTGTCTACTTTGGCTGCTTATTTTAAAAATAAGGTTTCTTTGAACTCTAAAACATAGTGATTCTGTTTAATGGAGCATCTGAGCACCTACTTTTCTAGTTTATAGTAACTACCTGCTTGCTTTCTTCCATTGTCCTGTCCATCTGTTGTGCTGGGACAGCCATTGTCCATGGGGCTGGGTGAAACCAATGTTAATAGAGATCAGATGGGAAAGATAAGCAAATCAGAAAGCCTGTAACCTTCAACCTCCTTTTCAGGTCACTGCCATTAGACATTACTCAGTTTACTGTCACCCATTTTGAAGTTCTAATTGAGGCCGGTTTCATGTTACAGGAGAACTCAGAAGAAGACAGAAGTCGAGCACTTCTTGTATTTTTCTATAGTCTCTCTTATAAAGGGGTGACAGTAACAAGCAGCCACTCTTTACTTTCATCATTACCTGGATACATGAAAGACACCATGTCTTTTGTTAACCACGGCCCACAGTAGAGTTCTTTCTTGTCTCCCAGTGCAGTAGCTTCTATCAACTTGAATTTTTCAGAGAAAGAGGCAAGGACATTAAGAAATGAACATTAAGCACCTAGTTAGTGTAATGCTATGTATAAGAATGTGGTGGATTCTTAAATAGTTACCTTTTAATAGTAACAGCGCTGAATGGTAGAATTGGCTTATATTGCACTTTTTATTGTACGCTGTTTTACTTTTTTCCTTATAGGTTAGCTCTGACTGAGTGTGGAGGGGTTGGAGCTACAAATATCTGTGGAGTGATAACTATGTCAAGTCCTGTGCTGTGCGTTATTACAGGATTTTGTTTCCGTGTTGAACTTTAAACAAATTAAGGTCACACAACAGTTTAGCAAGTTAGATATTATCCATCTCAATTTTGGAGGTAACTGCTCAGAAAAGTGAAATAACCTGCCTAAGGCTATGTACAAGTGATGGAGGTAGAATCTGAACCCAGATCCACCTGAATGAAAGCTCACGTTTCTCTACCACTTTGTTATTAGCGCTAAAGGCATCTTTTTCCTTAGTACTGTACTAGCTCGAGTATGGATTCCCGTACTGCTCACATGATTTTTATTGCAGGAAAAAAGACATGAATTGATCACATTAAAACAGGACCTCTTTTAGCTCTGCACACCCAGGGAGCGTTCTGCATTGTCTGAGTTTGGAGTCATAGGTGGGAGAGGTGGGTCTTGAAAGAAAGTTACAAGATGTTACACAGAAAGTCAACATCTTAACACCTGTCACCACCATATAGCGACCCTCACACTGAGATGCCTGTGGTTTTTATTCTTTTACTTCTTTCTTCATTCTCCTGGCACGCTGAACTGTTCTTTCTTTGTGTCAATCACTGTACCATTAATGATTTATGTCTTCGCTCACTGACGGACAGTCAGCTCAGTAAGAGCAGGGCTGCATGTATCTTGTTCACCACTGTAGGTGCCGGATGATAGAAGTGCTCCTTGTTCTCCAAATCTTTTTGGTCCCTGAGATCACATAGCGGGTTGGGATAACAAGGGATACCCTTACTTGTGGGCTGACTAGAAAAGAAGAAAAGGTAGGAGTTCTCTGGGTATGGGAAGAAAGGAAGAGAGTAGGAAGAAGAAGAAAAAGGTACAATTGACAAGGAGGGTCAGGGTAAGGAGGTTGCTGTAAGTTTTCTTACTACACGGCTAGAAGTTTCAAGTTCTTCAGAATGTATGGCAAAGGCTCATCTATGGGTAGATGGCGGGTAAGGCACAAGCTCCGGTGCCACGAGAAGCTGACTACTCTATTCACCTTGAGCTGAGTGAATTAGGACCTGATCTCAGCAGCTTTTACTGATATTTGTATAACATACACCATGAACCCAGTGCTTAATTGGGAAGGAGACTGGTTCCAGAGTGTGAGGAATCCTATCTACAAGAAATGGTTAGACTCCCTTTGGCACATCTCACAATTCCAGACCTTTTTTTCTTTTTTTTTTTTTTTCACTGCTGAGTACAATTTCAGTGGACTGATTGATATGAGTGTGGGTAAAGTGTTAAGACCTTATATGGTTTAGCCCCTCCCTGCCATACACACACCCTTTTTTCATAACCTCAATTCTTATCACACTTTGGTTTCAGCTGTGAAGTCTTGCTTCTTGCTGTTTCTCAAACTTGCCAGGGGTGTTCCTGCTCAGTGCTTTTCCACTCATGCTTCTTTCTTCCTGGGACTGTCCCCACCGATGTCCACTAACTTCTGTCGTCTTCACCTTCTTCACATCTTCTCAACTGGTATCTTATCTTTGAAACTTTCCCTGACCTCTCTATGAAAAATAACTCCTCCCCTATCCCTCTGCTTCCTTTCTTTACATAATGCCATCTGGCATACTTGATGTCCTGTTTACTCCCACTGGAATTGTAAATTTCATGAGCACAGGGACTCGGTTCTGTCCATTGTTATATCTTCAGCATCTAGAACAAGACCCAGAACTGGACTTAGCACTTCGTGGAATGAACAAATCGTTTCCCTTCTAATCTTTTAGTATATTTCTACATGGGACAACATTTTTGTAGCTGGAAAAAAAAAAGCCTTTATTTATTAATCAGTCCAATTCTAGAGATTAAATGAGGAAAGGACCCTTTTTTCCATGTCATTTTTTTTGGAGATTTGTTTTCCTTTGGGTCGGAGAGTATCCTATTGAAAAACTTCAAAATGAAGATGGCGTATAATGGAAATGGAATAAGCAGAAGGAACTAGAAATACTGTTAGATAACCTTAGCGTGAAAAAATAATTTTATAAAAACTGTTCTTTCTTCCAAAGAACAAAGTCTTCTATATTTTGTCCTAAAAATTTACCTATGTCATTCGTATTTTCTTTTTGACTGATATTTTCTCTCCTCTCTCTTTTTTAATCACATTATCTCCTTCTGCCGCTTTTCACGAAAATTGAGTCCTACTGGTTCTTTGAGGTTTCAGCTCAATTACCAGCTCGAAAAAAGACATTTCTCATCATCTCAGCTTTGTTCCTTTGTTTACTAAACTATCGTGTGTTCTTTGAGTCTTCATTGACAGTTACATTGCTCAGGTGATACTCTTCTGTGTCGCGTTTCTATGTGTTTATCTTGTATTTTCCATCTCCATCAGCCTCCATCAACTGTCTTGTGAAAGACGGGACCTTAGTGTAGTCTCACTGCCCAGTGCCCAAAAGACGTTTGGAAACTGCGGGAGACAGCGGTTTTAAAAGCCTTCATATAGTTTCAGTAGGTACATTGGTATTTCTTGGCTTTACTTTTAAAGGACATAGTCAAACTCTTAGTATAAAAGAACCTAGAAAAATACTACTTCAGATATTTTAGATTTCACCTAAATTATTTAAAGCAGTTGTCCCCAACCTTTTTGGCACCAGGAATTGGGGCTCCTATGAGAATCTAATGCCCGATGATCTGAGGTGGGGCTGAGGCGGTGATGCTAGCGCTGGGGAGCGGCTGCAAATACAGATGAAGCTTGGATGCCTTGCGAGCCGCTCACCTCCTGCTGTGCAGCCTGGTTCCTAACAGGCCACAGACCAGACCAGTACTGGTCTGCTGCCTGGGGATTGGGGACCCCGATTTAAAAGAAAGAACTTTTTTTTTTCATTAAAGAATTAGTAACTAACTCTTTGTTTTCTTTTATGTAGATGAGTCCTGCCAATTTAAAAATACCTAAATTTACAGTTTGAGCATCCACAGTAGGTGGCTATTATAGTCTAAAGAAGTTTTTTTTTTTTTTTTTGCTTCCTACTTTTCAAAAACCGGATATTAAATATAGTCTGGGACCAAAATGTATAATAATTTTATGTTATGAAAATGTGTTAGTGTTAGATAAATATATAGCTGTGGAGTTAGGAATAAACATTACAGTCTAAAAGTTGGTGATGTGTAGAAATGACATGATCTAAAACATAAACAGTAGGCACTTGGGAGAAAGCGTTGCTTGAGAAGAAAAGGCTTAAAATTATTTAATACTGATTTTTACTTTATTTTACAGATAAAAATTTAAAGAGAAAAATAGACTCATTTTTTATCATTTCTATTATTTTGGTTTTATATATTTGTAGGAGTTCATTTAGTAGGTGATTACTGTAGGTGATATCTTGATTTATGGTTAAAATTTTTAAAAGACATAAATCATTATGTTGCTTTTTTAGTAGTCATTTCTGAAACTACAGGTCAACTATAGAAATCCTTTTCTGTTTTTACTCCTGTGAGCTCACTGAACCTGGATTTCTTTGATCCAGCTCTGCTTAAGCGAACCCTTGAGAAAAGGTACTAATCCATAAGCATGCATTAGTTCCTAATGCTTTATACATTTTAAAATTCTAGGAGTTGAAGCCATTTTTTATGAAGGAAGTCGGTACTCACTTTGATGATTTCGTGACCAATCTCATTGAAAAATCAGCATCATTAGACAATGGTGGTTGTGCTCTCACGACCTTTTCTGTTCTCGAAGGAGAGAAAAACCATAGAGCTAAGTAAGTATGAGTATTAGTTTCTTTTAATGCAAACAGTAAAAATGCTTGGATTTACACCCTAGCAGCACTTTTCCTTTGCTGTGTGTTACCTTGGGCAAATTATTCAACCACTGGAGGGAGAGATTCTTCATCTTAATATATGGATGTGACAAATAATGCATCCCTCATTTAAGACTATGCTGACACTTGAGGGCCTACATCTAAACCAACAGTGACCCTATGAGGTAGATGCTCTAGCTGTCTGCGTATTACAGATTAGGACTCTGAAGCACATAGTGGTTATATGTTGTCCAGGACCATGCAGCGGGCTTGGAGCCCCGGATCTGGCTCCAGAGTCCCTGCTTTTTACCACGTCATTATACTGCCTCTGTTATACTCTATATAATACTTGTGATAAAGTACAGCACAGTTAGTGCCTATTTTTGTAATTGGTCAATCATCTAGAGCAGTGGAGGGAGGGCTGTCACAGGCCAGTGTGTGCTGATTTGTCATTTTGTGCTGTCCTTGCTTTTATGCCTCTGTGGTCTCCATCAGTCTCTCCTGTTCTGGGGGACAGTTTTAACTGGTAATAGTCAATAGAAGTGCTGCAAAAAGACCTAGAGAAGATCATGCTAGATATAAAATGTGAGATTTTAGTAACTGGAGGCAACCTTTAAGGTCAGGAGGATGTTGGGAGTGGTTGGAGGCCCTTCGACGTTGGGGAGGGTGTCATAAATATCAGTGCAGTTCTTGGGGAACAGACCAGTAGCAGTGTGTGAACTGGAGTAAGTATGGCTGGAGGCCCGTCTGTGACCTTAGGCGTGTTTAGGAGAAGGAAGAGTGGTTGTCACTGTGTGATGTCAGGAACTAGTGATGCTTTAGTCTGGTGTGCATAACCTTTCTTCCTGCCTAACCAGATGGGCATGTGCATGCCTCATAGCATTATGCAGAAGGAGTAAATGAGATAACACGTATAAAGTCCTCATCACAGTACCTGGATCATACTGAGAAGGCAGCTAATGTTTTATGCTGTACTTGGTAATATTCTTTCTCTCATCCATAGGTTCAAATTTCTTATAATACAAGTATTTATATTTTGTTTCAATTTTTGCTCTTCCTAGAGATCTGAGAGCACCTCCAGAACACGGAAAGATTTTTGTCATCAGCCACCTCTCTGCTGAGTGAGTATTTTTTAGTTGTTTTTTTTTTAGTTGTTTTTTTTTTAGCTATTATTTCGAATTTAAGAAAAGCTATTCTGATTGTTAAAATCACTGCTTAATCTATGAATGCTTGATGAGTTTGATCTGTAGTCATATAAATCATTAATCTGATACTTCTTTTTGTACATTTGCTGTCTCTTGCTTCTTCTTTCTGATCTCTGGTTCTGTATCTAGTTTCAAAGGTGATATTAGAAATAAGAACAGTTATCTGTCCTCTGATAAATTCCTTGAAGTCGTGTTGCAAGAACTGGTTACCCAAAGAACTAGAACAAAAGTTTTGTATTTCTGTAAACAACTTCAAGAGAGTTTTGGTGTTGCTGCCTTTATGACATATAAATTTTTTATCTCTTCTTTGGCTAGCCAGCATAGAGACTTGATAATTTTCTCAGATTTACTTATGTTAGAACTCTGATTTTGTGGATTTTGTGGGGAAAAAAATCAGGCAATGGAAATTAATTATGGTGACATTATTTGTGAACTGAAAAATTAAAGGTACATTTTGTGTAGGCAGTGAATATTTTGTGTGCTCTCCAAGATCATTTATTTACTCATTCATTTATTCATTAGCATACTGCTGTAGTTTAAACTGCACTAGTATAGGTTACTTAAAATAGTTGGGCTGGTGAAAAATTATCTTAAGTGATTAACGTGCTTTTCTTTAAAAATGCATCTTATGCTTATCAAAATTCACTTTCTATAAGCCAAATTGATCTGTATTATTTAACTTTGATGAGACGGCCAAAGATTTCTGAACATCTAATGTAGAATCCCATTTCAGTTTGTTTGAAGAGATTATCTTTTAAAATCTGTATCTGAGGGGAAATGTAGGCTTTCCACACAAAAGGGAATCAAAATAATTCTTTGAACATTATAATTAAGATTTAAATGATAGAATTATACTATATGAATAAGAAAATTAAAATGTACATTTCGTTAAAAAAATATTTTTAACCAAGGAAATAAAACATTCTATGGCTCAGGTGAGTTTTAGAATTTGAAGATTTTAATCCAAAGGTTTAATAGTATTTTAGGTTCCTCAAAAAGTTATTTAGAAGATTAGCATACTCCTTTCCAAAAACAAAGCTAAAACGCTTGTTTTGATCAAATAGAAAAAAACCCACATTTATTTAGAAAAAGTCATCTAGAAGGTCATTGCTATGTTTTAAAAGAAAAGTAGCCCAGTCTAAGTCAAATAAAAAGATCAGTGAGGCTAGAAGTGAAAAGCATATGTAAACGGTTAAATTTATAGACTTGTGAGGTGGTAGTAGTTGTTTATCATCAACATTACAGAAATGCATAAGTGTGAATCTTAACATTTTGGAAATAGATAGTACTTAATATGTGTATTAGTTAGGTGTCGAGTAGAATGTAAGAATAGGATTTTTAAAAACCTTTTTAACATTTGAAAAGTTTCTGTGTTCTGTTTGCAGTGAATGGCCTTTTGCCTCCCTTAGAAAACCATAGGTTCTGGTAGTTTGCAAGAATGCACACCATTTAAGTGTTGCCTGTCCATGCTGTTTTCTGGGAGGGAGTACCATTTTATCCGGAAGAGCCTTGTCCGAAGCTCTTCCGTTAAGTTTTTACCTTGGTCATATCATTTACCTTCTCTGCTTCAGGTTTAATGTTCTGTGATAACCGAGGTGTTCATACTGTGGATTAAGCATCTTCCGAACTGCTTTTACGTCTTATTTAATGTATGGGGTTTTGCCATCGAATACAGATTATCGATTTCATTTGTTTAAACTACATTTACAGTGAGCTGTTCGAGGTGGACCACATCAGGACAATATATCACATGTTTATTGCGCTCCTCATCATCTTTATTCTCAGCACACTTGTAGTAGATTACATTGATGAAGGAAGGTAAGACGAGAAAAGAGACGTTTGGCTAGTTGATGCATGGGATGTTGGAAATTTTCACTATATTTAAATTTTGGGTGATTTGGTTAAAAAGAGTGATTTGGTTAAATGTGCTACAGAAAATCCCACAGCAGCTGAGATTTCTCTATCCTGAAAAGTACAACTAAAAAGAAGATTAGAAGTTTCACTACTTTTGTTTTTAAAATGGCCTATTTTAATAGACTTATAATTAGTAGCTTCTAGGTAATTTTCTTACATGGGACAATTTGGTACGTATGGTTTATCATTTTTTTCTACTATGGTATGCACTTCAGGTTAACTACAAATAAGTAGCTTCTTGGAAATTAACATTTGAAAAATGTTGTATTTTTTCTAATAAAAATCAAATTGTAACTTTTAAAATAGCAGTGTGGTAATTATACATTGAATTATGTGCTTTATTCAAAAGTTAAATTTTGAGATAATGGTATAATAGTATATTAATAGATTTTTGAATTGTTCCTATTTCCTTCTGAAAAACCATCTTTTGTACACAACAATGATTAATATTTGAATACTTTAACTATTAACTTTGCCATAGAATGTTTTAGAGCTAAAAATGTATTAATGTGAGAATCTAATCTTTAAGAAATTCAGAGTCTTATTGTTTTAGGTTATCTAGGATATCTCATGTTCAAAGACCATGCTGTCTTTGGGCTTTTAGAAAATTTGTTGTTGAAATACATTTGGAGGCAGAGGCTTAGAGGCCGTTCTTTATCTAGCACAACTATGACATCTGTGACTTGGATGTATTAGTGTTCTTGTATTTCCTAAAAGTGAGAGTCTTGGAGTCTGAAAGTTTTGAATTTTTGTAAATCAGTACATATTAAAAATTTACCTCTGTGTCCTTTCTCTGTGCTTTTCCTCCCCAGGCTGGTGCTTGAGTTCAGCATCATATCTTACGCTTTTGGCAAATTTTCCATTGTCATATGGACATGGTGGGCCATGTTCTTGAGTACACTTGTATTTCCCTATTTCCTCTTTCAACAATGGGCCAGAAGCTACAGCAAGAGTTCTTATCCAGTGATGTATTCTTTCTTCTATTGCTTGCTTTTCATGGTCTTCCAGATTGGAGTTCTAGGTTTTGGACCAGCATATGCTATTTTAGCGTATACATTGCCACCAGCTTCCCGGAGCGTTATTATATTAGAACAGGTAAAGTTTTGAGTGTTGCCCAATGCCACGCGATACTTAGTTAAAATGACAACAGTAACAACAACAATAATTATATAACACTGATGTTTTGTTATTATTAGTTGTATTAGTTGGGTAAATTTTCACTTCTGTTCCTTTGGGCTATTATCTTTAAAACTAAAGTGTTAAGCTAGACCATCTCATCTCTTAAAACTTGTTCTAACTTCAGTGTTCTCTGATTAAGTCATATTGACCTGTTCTGGATTCATTCAGATTTTGTTCTTGAAAACTTTTTGTAATAGTCATCTATACTGTAAAATATCTTTGTAATTAAAAACCCCACTTTCGAAATGTCGGATTCATTGTTTTGTCATATAACTGTTCCCATCTAAAGACCGGATTTATTTTATTTGTTCAGCCTTTAGAATTTTCTGACTTATATCGGCCGTCTGTATTGCTCTGTTTGACTAATGGAAAGGAACATTTCTGGAGACTTTCTCTGTAGAGGCTTTTAATTGATTAATTTGTAATATACTTATAATAGTGCTGTTAGATGCAAAATAATTTGAGTAATAACAGGTCCTTCTTTAGAGTTTGTTTTTCATGGGCTTCATTCCATAAAAGTGAACTTGAGTTGGTATGTGTAAAATGAAAACATTCTTTATGTGACTATAATCTAGTGGTGTTCTGGGGTTTCTGATATGAGACAAGTCAATGATAGAAAATTCATCTTTTTCTTTCCCCCTCCTTTTGTAGATCCGTTTAATAATGAAGGTCCATTCATTTGTCAGAGAGAATGTGCCTCGGGTACTAAATTCAGCTAAGGAGAAATCACGTATGTAATTCCATTACGTCAAAGGATTATTTATAGGGTATTTCAATCTTTGGTGTTTACTAGGGTGGCAAGTTACTTTCTGCAGACATTATATTTGATTTTAAATATATAGGATCCGTATTGATTTAGGAGACTGTGTCACTATTTCCTGATTGTTCCTCTTTTGCCTACAATTTAAAAACATTGATCATTAGACTCTCGTAACTTTGTGTAATTTTTATAGAATGTTAATAGACTCAGTACACCCAGGTGTGCTTATTTTTTGACTTGCTGCTTACAACTCTAGCAGTTATCTCTAAGTCGTAGGAATAACATATATTAATATATAACTTACATTAATATAAAAATAATATAAAATATATATAAAATATACATATTAATATATAACATATATTAATATAAAAATAAGAAGACATCATTTGGGGAGATCAGGAGGAAGCAACACGAGCTACAGCGAGGTCATTTATTCTTCTCTAGTCTGTGCTCCCTCACTTCCCCTTGTTAGTTTTGCTGAGAGAAATTGAAGAGCTTCTGCTCTAAGCGCAGTTTTCCTTTTCCAGGCACTGTCCCAGTACCTACAGTCAACCAGTACTTGTACTTCTTGTTTGCCCCCACCCTCATCTACCGCGACAGCTATCCCAGGTAAGGCGCTGCGAAGTAGAGACGTGGGCGCCGGCAGTGTGGCCGGAGTCGGGTGGGCGGGATCGGTGGGCAGGGGCCACTTCATGTACAGCTACAGAGAATATAGAATGAGTTTTAATTATCTCACTGGCGTGGGGAGCCCCAGATCGTGATTCTAGCAATCTGATTTGCTTACAGTAATTCTTGACAGAATTATACAAGTATTTCATATGCCAAATATGATGTTCTATGTGGGAAAATATTGTGAAGATCTTTATTAAAGTTCAATTGTTTACTTTATGTAGAAAACTTATTTTGTTGCTTTTTTTAGGACTCCCACTGTACGATGGGGTTATGTTGCTATGCAGTTTGCACAGGTAAATCTTTTTTAACTGTCGATAAAGTTTGTTGATTGCTGGGAGATAAGGCTTTGAATTTATTCTAGTAATTTAATCTATTTAAATCATAGATATATTTATGTCTATTGGGAGCTCTAGAACTCTTTCTGAAGTCTTTAAATTATTCTCAGTACAGTAAACGGTGTTTGTTTTGCCAACATCAGAAGTCATTTTCTTTAATAAAAGAATTTATTTTAATTAAAGTAATTTCATTTGGTTACTTCAGTAAATATCTACATTAATTTTCCCCTCCCCTTCTTGGTTGCTTTTGGGGGGCTCTATATATATGTGTGGGTGTGATCTGACCCTCCCCCCACTCCTCCCTAACCCCTTATCAGAATCATAAATTCCAAAAGATCCCCTTTTAAATTCTTGTCTCAGTCAAATACCCATTTATGGAATAAGTTGTTTTGTTGTGAGTTTTATGTAGCAGGAGAAGCAGGTTCCAAGAGGTCTGATTTTTAAAAAATGCCATTTGGTAAACATGTTGGGAAAAGGCATGGTAGAAACTAGGCACCAGTAATATCTGAAAGGTTACGGTTTGGCAATTTAATGTGGAATATGTATGTAAACATTAGTTTAAGGGTCACGTACATATCTCTTTGGAAGGCAAAATCACCATCTTTCCTTATCGAGCCATCGCTATCATGTCTTTGCTGTGTTCCAGGTTTTCGGGTGCTTATTTTATGTGTACTACATCTTTGAAAGGCTCTGCGTCCCCCTGTTTCGGAATATCAAACAGGAACCCTTCAGCGCACGAGTTCTGGTCCTGTGTGTTTTTAACTCCATCTTGCCAGGTAATACAGGTGCTGGTTAATTTGGCCATTCTTAAAGTTGCAAGGAAAATAAAGCTATTCGTATGAGCACCTTTGATTTACCTGCTTTTAACTGTGAACTCATCTACATGTCTTAACCATCTTGACCTCTTTCTACCTGTCTCGTAAATGAAGTATGTTTTAGTTTCAGGCAAGTCTTTCCATTGGTCTTCTGAGTTTCACTCAAGTTTTGCTTTCTCTGACTGTGTAGGTAGTGCTTATTTGTGCTTATTTTCCCATAATCTTGCTCCTAATCTAACTAGGCCACTGAAGTGGCCTTTGTTAAAATCCTGATGCTAAATCCAGTAGGTGCTCTAGCCCTTATTACCCTGTTTGATCTCCATGAAGCACCGGGTGCTGTGGACCACATTTTGAAATCTCCATCGCCACTTTTTCTTCTTCTTCTGTCTTTCTAGCCATACTTCAGTCTTCTAATTCCTTCATTCCACTTATTTTTTAGAGATAGATGAGTACCTATTATATGTGCCAGGTGCTGTGGACATAGCAGTGTGTAAGACATACATACTGTACTCTCTAGAAGCTTGTATTTACAGTTTCTTTTTTTTTCTTTTTTTTCTGTATCCATTAAATGTTGATGTTTTCCATCATCACTTCTCTCTTCCTTTCTCTCTCTCCCAGACGTCTAGTACCCTTCCCTGATTTCCCCCCATGATTTACTCCAGTAAACTCTTTTATTTGTCCCTCTACTAGGATATGTGTTAGATGCTGTGCATCTTTCTCAGTAGGGTACAAATTCCTTGAGATCGAGGATCGTGACTTATAGCAAGTCAGCCAGTCATAATCTCTCCCATATTATCTAACACATAGTAGATACTCTTGCAAATATTTTTTGAATAAAGAAAGTGAACGAAAGAGATGGGCATGTAAATGGATCTTTTACATTATAGTGTAACATATTATACCTAAGTAGAATAAGTGCTGATGAACTTTGTATCATATTGGTGATGAAATTTAACATTGGGTATTGCAAACAGATAGGTGTTTGCCTGGGTAGAAAGGTACTTTCAGGTAGTGGAATGGATACAAAGGTACGGAGTTCTCTTAGAATGGCCAGAGTCCAGTCATGGATGATGTTTGCAACACCAGGAGTAGAGTCGGAGATAAGTTAATCTTATCACTATTGACATTGGGAACTGGATAATTCTTTGTTTTGAGGAACTATCTTGTGCATTGACATCACCCTGGTTTCTAACAACTAGATACCAGTAGCACAACCCCCAACCCTTGAGTCGTGACAACCAAAAATGTCTCCAGAATTGCCAAATGTCTCCTGGGGTGGGGGTTGGCGGGGGGAATCTCCCTCAGTTTTAAACAACCGGTTTAGGGGAATGCTTGAGGGCCAGATTTTAAAGGGCCTTGGGTACCAAGTTAAGCCATACATCTAGGCATTTCTATTAAAAACAGGCTGGATCATTAGTCATCTGTGAAACCCATTTGGAAGGAAGTTATTACTTTATAAAATTAAAATAACTTTCAAAAGAACACTATCATCTCTGGAATGGGTAAGCTGGAATAATAACTTATTTTACAAAATAATTCTAGCTAAGCAGATAATGACATATAATTAACTAGTTGGTATGTGAGCTATTTAGAAAGACTCTTAATAGTGTTAATTTTATTTTTAGGTGTGCTGATTCTGTTCCTTGTCTTTTTTGCCTTTTTGCACTGTTGGCTCAATGCATTTGCTGAGATGTTACGCTTTGGTGACAGGATGTTTTATAAGGTAATATACACTTGGACTCATCTCTGTTTTCACATTTTGTTTATATCCCCATTGTCAAGTATTTGAGCATCATTAGCTACTAACTTTTTAATGTAGACATTGTGAAATAATTTTCCCCACAAGGTTTACCAAGATTAAGTCTGAAATTCTATAATAGGCCTTATCTTCCTTATCTTTTACCTCTAATATACCCTCCTGTCATATAGCATATGGTTTTTACTGGGTCCTGTATCCGTGATTGTAGAAGGAAAGCATGTGTCCAGAGGGCATTATGAGACTGTGCTGACCGTTCATTCATTTGAAATCGGCTGTCTGGTGCTGTGGGAGTGATGATTCCATTTAAAATTGTTGAATAGTTCATGAAGGAAATAACGTCTCCTTCCTATATTTTTGAAAAGCATCAGTTCTGCTTAAAATAGTACGCTTACACTTCCAAAGTTGGAATTAAGTTCAAGGCTAGAACCAGAGTCTAGAAATTTGTTTGTTTGTTGTGGTTTTGGTAACACTGCAACCCTACCACTTGTTTCTCAAAGAAATGGTGAGTGTAGGTTGCACATTTTAGATGTCAGATTCTATTGGTCTGATCTTAAAGTAGGGAATGATATATATACATAGAGACATATATATGTGAGCATCAGAATTGCAGGTTAGCTGCAATCTCACTCCTTGTACAACTTGTTTTTCTGTTTGATATCTGCAAACAGTTTTTAGCATTAGCATGCTGTCTAAGTCTACGGGACCTGAGAATTCTCACTGCGCTTTACCAAACTGAGGGGGATTTACGGATTGCTATTTAGAGGAACACTAGATTTAATGACTATGTTCTGTGTCTCCCATCATAACTTGTTCAAGAATGAGACAAAATGAACCTAGGGACTTAATCATATATAGAACTAGAATTAATGTCATATTGAACACTTATAACCAAAATGCCTTATATAACCAAAAATCTTAATTTTTCTGACATCAATGTATGGACTGGAAGTTTATCGTAACACACTCTGGGTGTTATGTTACGCACGTATGTTCTTTGGGGATATTCGGGGTTTTGCTTTGGCTCGTTGCATGTGTGCGTGTGTGTTTGTGTGTGTGGTTCATGTGTGTTTTATAACTTCACTTTTTCCCTCAGGATTGGTGGAACTCCACATCATACTCCAACTATTACAGGACGTGGAACGTGGTGGTTCATGACTGGCTATATTACTATGCTTATAAGGACTTTCTGTGGGTAAGCAGCAAGATTTAGGATGTTGTTTAAGAAGTGGACATTCTTTTCCAGAAAGTATTGGTATTGTGCAGCTGGAAGATGTTCTCCTTAATTGTCTTCAATTCTCTGTGAGCCATTTATGTTTAAGAAACCAGCTTTGAATGGTACTGCTTAGAGACCAGTAGGAACAGTTACTAGGTCTAATACCATGTCTTTGCTCTAGATTTTATTTTATATAATTCCAAAGTAAGAATGCATGGAAGCATTTGGAGAAGTGGAAATGGTCCACCGATAATGGGTCCTTTCTTGTGAATCTCGCTGCCAACAAATAATCTCCCTCTAGCTTTTATTGTTTTCTTTTTGTTTTTGTTTCTTTGTTAAAAGTGGAGAAACACCTGTGTTTGGATTTTTGTCTCTCCAATTGGTGATACAGGTTTTTGAGACCTTCTTTAGAGCAGAATGTATTTAGACTGTTGAAGTGTAATCTTGAATCTCATGGTGGATTAACGCTGGCATCTCCAGCTCGCAGACTTTAATCATTAAATAACGGCACTGTAGATGACAGCATGTCGTGGTGCAAATACACTGTATTCGAGTGTCCTTTCACATAGAAGTGTAGTTTCGCTTGTGCATGAGGCAAGTCTCTCTGTAAATCTTAGTTTTGTTGCCTATGAAAATGGAGAGGGTGCTTGCCCTGTCTACCATGCATTGTTACTCTTAAGGTTGAGATTTGATGTATCCATTTATATATGAAAACTAGGTTTTGTGAACCATAGTGACTTATAACTTATTAATGTTTTGGAAAATATACCTAGATCTTTCAACATCAATGGATTTTAAAAAATTTTTATAGGGATATTTTGAGCCAAGCTGATGACATAAGCCGGGAAGCAAGATCTCAAATGTTCCCTCAACATTAATGGTTTTGAAAATGCCTCATTTTAGTAAAATAAGGATTTTTAACACATAGATGTTTTTTGAAATTATTATTAAATCAAGGAGTAGATCGGAAAATCACATGTAAATACAACTACATAGGTGCTTTCGCATGTGGTAATTTTAGGTCATGTGGTTCATCCTTACTTGCTTTGTTAAAACAACTTTTTAATATTTTCTTTTTACCTTAGTTTTTCACTAAGAGATTCAGACCGGCTGCCATGTTGGCTGTCTTTGCTGTGTCTGCCGTAGTGCATGAATATGCCTTGGCTCTGTCCTTGAGCTTTTTCTATCCAGTGCTCTTCGTGCTCTTCATGTTCTTTGGAAGTAAGTATCTTGGCATACCACGAGGACCGATGCTAAAAGAGAAATTTAGAAAATGGAGTATAGAATCAATGTAGAAAACCAGACAGTATTTAGTAACACCATGTCAAGGGTGTGCTGTTTATCAGATGGTGAGAACATTGAGTAATTATACACAACTCTGTTTCTAGATGCCTATACTTCGAAGTAGGGAAATGAACTAAATAACCCTTTGAAGACTATTGATAACGATGATTTGGCAGGTCATAATAACTATAAAAACAACTTCCCATTTTTCAACTCTGTGTTCACCCCCTGAAAAAAACTGAACCTTTTTTGGGTCGAGGTGGGGGACAAGTTGGAATATGAATGATTCCATGAAATATATTTTCACCTGCTCTGAATATCATCTGACTCTGAATTAATCACTGATTAATAAACTTCGACACTGGAGCTTCATTTTTATGTATAGAACCAGTGGCCAAAATAAAACATGTATACACACGATTTGTGCTCATTGTGATAATTAAAAGATTGCAGCAGATATCTGAGGCTGCTCATCTCCTGATAGATTATGTTTTGATATAATTTTTTTTTGTTATCTTTCTAACTTTAGTGGCTTTTAACTTCATTGTCAATGATAGTCGGAAAAGGCCAATTTGGAACGTTATGATGTGGACTTCCCTTTTCGCGGGCAATGGAGTCATCCTATGCTTTTATTCTCAAGAGTGGTATGCGCGGCAGCACTGTCCTCTGAAAAATGTGAGTCATCAGTCATGTTGGGATGGAAAAGTAACCTGTTAGTCCTCTGATTGTGAAGGATTGGAGGGTGATCGTAAGGGGAGGAGAGTAGTGGAGATAGTGATGAGTGAAGGTGAAGGGGAGAAGAGGGTGGAGAAAAAGCATTAGCTTATTATCTGACCTCACTGCACTGTCCTCGAATTTTTCTTTTCTTTAGTTTTCTTCACTTTGAACTCTACTACTTTTTGGTTCTCTTCTTCTTTTTCTCTTTGACTGCTTTTTCTTTAACTCCTTCTAATTTTCTTCCTGTGTCCTAAAAATGTAGGTGTTGTCCAGAGTTTTCCCAGTGGCATGTGTATCCCCCAAACCTAAACATATGTATTTTTTACTTCTTCCTTTCCAAAGTAAAAACATCCAGCTACACTCACATGCCTAGGATCCCATTTCTCTTGATTTTTTAGTTTTTATTTTTCGTACTTATGTAAGAGTCTCATTCTTAGAGCATTAGCTTTCAGCTGCATATGGATAACTCCCAAATATTTAGGGGGTGCCTTTATCAAAATTCAGTTTGAATGCAACATCTTCTATAATGCTTTTTCAAATTCTTGTTCTAGTCTCTTTCCTATTTCTAAACTTTTGTATAAAACTTCCTTTGTATTATAGTAATTCGTGTATGTATCGTATCACCTGTAGTCTACCACCATTTACAGTTTAGGCTAGTAAAAAGTAGGGCTATGCTAAAATAAAATGTAAAATACAGAAATGCCCATTTAAAATTTGGTCAGAAGTCCATGCAATTGTGAGAGTTTACTGGACTTTAAAAACTTCATATAAAGTTTCTAAATCACATTTATGCCATAGATAAAAATTATGAACATCTTTTGAGTTATTCAACTGCTTATAGCTTCGAGGTTACTGAAATGCTGGGGCGGGGGGGCGGCGTTTTAGAGATGTACGTTAGCACCCCCGCGTCCTCCCACACCACATACACACAGTGCTTGCAAGTAAACTACTCTTCTACTTTTTTTCCTTGAAGCCCACATTTCTGGATTATATCCGGCCACGTTCCTGGACTTGCCGTTACGTGTTTTAGAAGCTCGAACTTTGTTTCCTTCTTTGACACTGAAGATTGGGTATTCTGCTTGATGTGAGGCCAACATCTGTTTCCAGCTGTTACTGAAGTTATCTGTGCTATTTGGACCACTCCATTCTTTACAGATGACTTACTCCATTCCGAGGCCACCTGAAGCTGAGCTTTTGGAAGTTTATTGGAGCCTTATGTACTTAAGCAGACTTTTTTTCCTTTTTGGAAGAAGTGGGTCTTATAGCTAATGTAATGACAGATTTTGCTGGGTCATACTGGCTTAAACCTCAGAAATTATATGTTTTGTTTCTTTATCTAATTGGAGACTAAACATCGTGTTTTCTTGGCCACTGAATTAGCCAAAAACACTTATGAAGAAGTAATTTAAATACCTCTGGCTTAGAAATTTTTTTCATGCACACTGTTGGAATGTATGCTAATTAACCATACAATTGGGAAAGAAAAGAAAATATTATGGAATGTTTTGCTATTTCTAGTAGAAAGAAAAAACATCTATTTTCCAAAGACAATCTTGTTATATATCCTAATTTGTATTTTTTTTTAAAGTTTAATTCTACTCAATTTTTACTTTGTTTTTACTATACAGTGTAGGTCATGATATCTGTGAAGCAAAATTATACCTTTCACCTTGAATTCTTGAGTTTGTATCTATAATGTTATATATTGAGAGAACAGAAGTAGTTTTTTTGGGAAGGAGAAAGAACAAGACAAAGAAAAATGTCTCTCCTTATAACTTCCAAAGTAATTTAAAAAAAAGACTTGCAGAGTCATTCATGTGTTTTAAATTATTTTAATCATAGATCTTGTATGGAAAATAACTTTTTAACTTTAAGGCAGTAACTTCTTTTAAGTTATTTAGAAGTATCCTTCAGTACAGTTATTTTATTGTCTAATAAATACTGACTTCAGTTATTTTGCAGACTACTAAATCTGTAACATAAGTATTAATCACCTTCATTAACATTAAAGTGATTATTAAAAAACCAGAAGCTGGCTTCTGCATTTGCTCAATTATTATACTTTTAATGGTAGTATACAAATTAACATGTGATCGTTTTCAAGAAAATGGACTCTATTATGTGATATTCTCCTGCTGTAAGATGCCCATTGCTGATAAAATGTGATATAGAGGAATTACATTGTTCGTGTGTATGAGGTGTGATTAATGTTTATAAAGACTGAGCACTGGAAGGGATTTTAGAGACCAAGTTCAACTTTCCATCCAAAGAAGTGAAACTTATGAATTACCAAAAAGATGATTGTTATTTGGAGCAGCCAAGTTGAGAGGTTATCTTGGTATGCTAACAGCCCTACTACTATCCAAAAAATTTTGGGAAATCTTTTCTGAATTGTTTTAAAGTCAATTTGAGTCTCACAAGAAGGTAAGTAGTTTCTTGATAGTCACAACTTAATTTGCACCACAAATACCCTTTTAATCACCTATTTTACTACCCATAACTTTGATCCAGATGAATTTAGTTAGTTTTTAAACATCAAATCCAACTTCAGCAGACAAAGGTGTACCTCAAAGGAGGTTATTTTTGAAAAGGTCCCACATATTCCTGCACAGTAATTATCTGTACAGTAATTATCTGCACAGGGGTATTCTAATTATAATTGAACCAGATCCTCCAAACAAGACTACTTTAATATAGCTCCTACTTTCTGGCATTTTTATTAAAAATTAAAATGAGTCACGTCAACCACTTGAATTTTTAACTACATTTTAAATGTAATGAGGGAGCTGAGAAAACTATATTGGTCTAAGACGTGGTTATGAGTAAGCCAGTCCATTGAAGCGAAAGAATGGAATTCTTAGGTCCATATTTCTGGTAAGTACTATAAACAAACCCTTTCATAGAGAGGGCTTTGCTTCTCTGTACTGATTCCAAATACTGTATCTGTTGGACTAATCCAAGGCTATTTAAAAAAAATCATCTCTCATCTTCCCTTTATTTATTAGTGTTTTTGTTTTTTATTTCTGCCCAGGATTTTTAGTGACGACAAATAATATGTGTATAACTGTAGGCTCTTTAGAATGTTAAGACTGTACCTGAGGAAATTTCAGAAACGATTAAAGGAATAGCCAGTTTCTATGAAAGAAACGAGTGTGGTAGCCATGGGCTATTTTTAACCTGTCGGTAACTACAACATTTAGGAAACAAAAGAAGTGGAGACATGTTTTTTTCTTTTTCAGTCATTCCAAGGTAAAAAATAGATGACATTGGTAGGTTAAGAAAGTACAGTGTGTAAATATTCTATATTTGCAAACATTATGTTGTAGAAGCAATTCACTTAGTATGGGCACTTTTCATCGTAAGATTAAAATTATACTTGCCTGAGAAATTGAATTCTGAAGTCTTTATTAGAAAATATAACAGGACATTGTATGTTTAAAAGCTGGTCATTGTGGGCTGTGTAGCCTAATAAGATGTAATTTATAAATTGTCGAAGTCTTTTATTCAAAAAGATATCTTTGTTTTGTGCGGTCATAAGTAATTTTGAGTAAAGTTTGTTGTTCTGTGTGGGGAAAAATAATGAAGGTAAACTAATATAACTGTAGTAACCAGGTGGCCTAAACCGTCAAAAATAAATAAATCGTTACACTTAAGCCCAGCATGTAAAGCATAAAATGTAGCAGCTTCCAATTGAGATAGAGATGCAGGACTGGAGCCTTCTTGTTTGCTACACCCATTTTCTCCTACCCTAAAATACCTAGTTTGAAAACCAGTGATACAGTTATAAAAGAACATGCACGGATATTTGAGTAAGATAACGCAATACTTACTAGCAGCGTGACCTTGGGCAAAGTTGCTTAATTTATCAGAGCCAGTTTTCCTCATCTGTAAAATGAGGTTAATAACTACCTCATAGGGTTGTTGCAAAGCACTAGTCTAGCCCTGGCAGAAATAAGGCCTCATTATTTTCTTATCCTCCATGAATTCTAAATTCTTATGATCTCATTAGAATCCTTTAAAAATGTGGACGTTTCAAATGCTACAAACGCCCAAGAATGTACGCTTTTTTGAAACTCAGGATGATGTGAATTGGCCTTACACCTTGATTGATATAATATTATGGCTCTCCCATAATGGAACCTGACATGAATTCACCAAGATTATGTTAAAGGCATTCATTCGCTGATGTTTCCGCCTCTCCAAACAGATTTTCAGATTTATCTGTTTAGCGTTAGGGTAGTGGGGTAAGCTTCTAAAAAAAAAAATACATTTCTGCTTTCACCTAAGTATCATTAAGTCAAGAGTTTTAGTGAAGTTTAAGTGACTTGTTTATTAATCTTGTGCAAAATTTTATGTAGCTTATGTGGTTCATATAGTTTATGTGTATGTATGATATATATAAATATAATTACTATCAAAGCTGTCTTGGACATTGTTTCACATTTTATCTCTAGGCTTTATGTTTATGGCTCAGAAATTAGAGGAACTGGGTAAATGTTTTTGTGGGATGTTATTAGTGAAGCTTATATAAGTGATTAGTTTCTAACATCACTAAATTTCTATCAGGTTATAGAGTGTTGGAACCCAGTTTTTAAAGGAGATAAAATACGACTACTCTGGTTGAAATAGGGAAAATAGAGCCCTCCTTGCTTGGTTTGCCGTACCCTTCCCCATCTGAAATTTAATGCCCAGTTTGGAAATCAGTAAATAATGATAAAATTGATGCCCTCTAGGATAGTGAGAAAGCTGTATAATCTTTATAATCTACTAAATCCTTAATAAAGTGTTCTTTTTTTTTTTTTTTTTCCTGTAAAGTACAAAGACTTTTTAATAGCTACTTTGGATTTGAGCAAAAGAAAGGATTAAATTCAGAATTGTTTTTAAAAAGTCTTAAGATTGCCTCTGTACTCCTTTTTTCCTAAATGCTTTCTCCCTTATTTCTACATTATTATATATTTCTGCAGTCAGTATTCCCTTCCCAATGGAGCATTAACCTTTAAACTAGCAGATACCATGCTTTGTGGTATTCTTTTGTCTTAATGAAGTGGTAGATGAACTTTCTCTTTGTTTTAACTTTGAGACATGAGGCAGTTTGTGCACCCAGTCATTAAGGAAAATAATTTGAGTCCCCATGTGCAAATGTGCCAATTTTGGGGTGGGAAGAGAGCTCAAGCCCCAGCCAAGGCTCTACCATTTGTGCCAATGTGGCAGCTTCCTTCCCGTGTCTGTACCTTCTCAGCTCGTGCATTCAATCCATCGTGTTCTGAGACTGGCAGAAGGGTCACAGAAGTCTGAAGAAGTTTTAAAGGTTTCTCTATAAAGATGTCTTTTCTAATCCATTGTTTTCTCTCTTCCTGAATTCCTTTACCCTACTCCCCTCCAAATCCTCCTTGTTCGTCTAATCATTGGTATCACTTTGTTTAGTATCCATTGTATTCATATCAACAAAAAGTTTTAAACTTTAAAAAATAGACATACACAATAGCAAAATATTGCATATGTGAAAAATGTAAATAAATATATTTGGAAAAAACTAGTCTGTTGTTTTAAAAGTAACTTCCAAGTGTATTCAGTGTTAACTCTATATTTTAACTACATATTTCATGGTCATAAATACTTTGCATTAACTATTAGGCGGCTTTATATACTGAATATAGCCAAAGAGAAGGAAAGAACAGAACTTTCCTATCCAGGGTGATGGTGGGAAACCATGTCACAGACTACAAAGAAATAATGGGACCCAGTTGTGACTGTATGAACATCAAGAGAAGCAGAGACACTGATTCTTGAACCTCCTCTCATATTGGTCATTATTTGTTTCTTGATTCCTTTTGCTCTTGGCCTTTGAAAACTTGTACATGGGTGTTTCTAAAAAGGAACCACCCTCCCCCCCAAATGGATAGAAATGACTTCTGTTTCTAATGAAAGGTGAAGTTGTGTTGGCCAGGCAGTGTGCTTTTTCAGACAAGACTTGATGTTTTATATTTAGGAAAATTAGTACCTGCTCATCTTGCATTTTCCTATGGTATTTTCTACCAAAGACTTCAATACTACTTTATTTCCATTTTAAGGGTCTCTTGGTAAAATGAAAAAATTATGAGAGGAGTTTCCCAAAAGCAGCAATTGGATTCTCCAGTAGCAATGGTCATATGGTAATGTTCCTATGTTCTCATCTGTTTTTGTACTTTGTACTTTATATATTCTTAAACTAGGTTAAGAATATGAAGGATGAGTTAGTTACTTGGTTCTTGCAGTAGCTAAAGGCTTGATAAACAATGTATAAGCTGAAGCTGGAGTTTTGGGACCTCTGAAGTTCAGTATCTTGGTTCCAAATTATAACGTAGACACAACATCAGCGAGGAGGAAAACACATTTTGAGGGGAAATTACTTTTTACCTTCTTGTGCATTGCCATCACCTGCTTTGATGGTAACCAGTCCTTAAAAGTGAACTATATGTATATTTTAATTCTTGGAAAATCTAGAGAAAAATTATGGTGCTGGGAGACAGGGCTAAAGGCTGAAACGCTCAGATATCCAAGGCGTACGACTAGGAGAATGAAAAGGGGCCTTGGAGATTGATTTTGTTTAACATTATGCTCATATTTCTCTTTGCTATTACCCTGGAAACCAAAAACCAGAGATTTAAGTCTATCGACACAAGCAACAACTGTCTAGTTGATTTTCAAATATCGTGTATTGAAGGTGTTTGTGCCACGCACTGTGGTTGGTACCAAGGAATATGACAAACAAGATTAAGTTTTCTTTCCTCCTGAATTTTATTTTCTAGACTATCGGCATCTAGATGCATGGATTCCACCAACATTATTTGGCTTTAAGGCTCCATCTTACACAAAATGACCCCTGGTGGCAGTAAGGGGCGGGACCTCAGCTCCTCGGAGCGAATGTGTCTTATCGCATACTTTACTGAGAACAGGTTTTCAAGCAAGAAGACCCAACGATTTTACTTCACCTAATAAAGTTCATTCCCCTTCCCTGCCTGGAGCCAAAGAATGTCTCGACCTAGGAATGCCTTCCCCGTGCTCCAGGGGGCGGTGCGTAGTGTCCAAGGATGAGCTGATCGAGATGCCAGGACAGGGGCAGCGTCACAATAAAGCCTCAACTGATGGCAATCCAGAGTTTTCGATTATCCTATTTCCCTCTGAATTTGGCTTTAGAAAAGAATGCAAAACAACAAAAAAGTGGGTAGGATGTTTGTTCAAATCCGGAGCGAGCCGGAGAGCTCACCCTGGGGTAGCCGGACAGCGGCCCGGGCCACCGCCGGCGCCTGCGCACTGTGCACCAGGCCCCGGGCTCAAATACGGTCTCGGGCCCCGTGAGGACGGTCTGATGAAACATTTTTATTCTCCATCGCTACTGAACCTATGCTGCGATGTAAAACACATCGAATCCCCGAGAGAGCGTTGGGATATTTTCTTAGCTGTCCCCTGCCCGGCCCCCGGCACCGCCGAAGGCAGCCCCCGCTGAGAGCGGCTAAGGCGCGGGTCCTGGGTTGCTATGACGACGCGCAGACGTCCGAGAAAAGGCGAGGTGGCAAGATGGGTGGCGGGAAGTACAATTTGCGGGTACAGGTTGCAAGTGTACGTGTCCCATCACTTCTGAGGCAGAAACGGTGCGACCGCTGCCCGACCGGACTCCGTGGAGCTGGCGTGCGCGAGGTCGCTGCCCGCGGGGACGCCGGCGACGGGGACCGAGCCGACTGTTAGTGCGGGCGGGCGGTGGCCCGGCGCGTCCTTCCGCGCCTGGGCGCACACCCTGACACACCCGCAGGCTTCTTAGTCGCGTCATGTGACCTCAGGGAACACAGAAATGTCCCCAAAGGCGGAAAACCCATGCTAGATGAATTATCGCCTCCGATATTAACACAAACTTTTAACGTGTCTCCCCGCTCCCCCCACCCCTTTTTTTTTTGCTCGCAGGTCAGTTTGGCAGCTCTGCCCCACGTGCTGCTGATTGGTGTCTAGGTTAGCTTTCTGGAGGAATATTTCAGATTGCTAAAGAGAGTGATAGGAGGCTTTGTTTACCATGTCTCACTCGAAAACGCCCTCCGCGTCGGCACGTGAGGACAAAAAATTAAAAAAAGTCGCTGCATCCAAGGAAGAGACAGGTAAAGTTCATAAAGAGTCCCGCAGGCATAAATAATCATGGCCATAGAAATCACGGTCCTTTCACCGTTTTCCTTCATTTGAGACTTCAGGATACTTAACTTCATTTTCCTATTACACTTGTTGCAGTAAAATCAAAAGCCATTCCTTTTATAGTATTACCTATTTCAATACTCCACCTAAGGACTGTAAGTTTTTTTCACACGCTGATGATTTTTTTTGTTTAAAATTAACCCTACTTTAAATACTAGTAGTTGTACGAACAGTCCTTTCTTTGGTACCTTGTAAAGAACCGGTTTGTACCAGATTTTAGTAATTATTCTACATGAAAATAGTTCCTTATTTAAGATTTTCATTCATGTACGGATAAATGCAGATCTGTAGTAGCATAAGAGTCATCTGGACTCATTCCTCCCCCCAGTATGTTAAAGCTTCCCTTCAACTCACCATCTAGTTTTTAGGGGAAATTGTGCTAATGCCCCACCTAACCTTTTTCTTTTCTTTTTCTGTTTCCTCTGATACTCTGACTCCATCTCAAACTTTCAAGAGCTAGGAATTTGGTAATGTGAACTTCAGAAGTTTTAATGGTGATCAAAACATGATACCTACTTGGAGAAAGAAACATAAACCATAGTATGTGAGGGGCATAGATAAGTGGAGAGGCCTTTAAGAGTGACAGCCTGATTCTTGACTGACTTCATAAAAGACGTTTTCCTGTCTTAGCCCTACTCCTTCTTTATAACTCCTCTGCCCTAGTCAAGCTGTGTAGACCACTCTTTGCTCTGTTCTTTACCGGTTTGCTCCGATTACCCACTTTGTTCATTTCCAACAATCCCAATTCTGCTTTTACCTTTAAACCCAGTGCCGATCCCTTCCACTCTACAAATGCCCCAATTTAATGCAATGGTTCTTATCTTTCAACTTATATAGAAAAAATACTAAATGATGTGACAGTTTTGAGGAGAGGAGGTTTCTTTTGTCATTTGCACATGGAAGAGAGAATAGACACATTCCCACCATCTTAAGGCTAACCCAGTTAATTGAGCAAGTGAAGTGAATTTAATTTTTAACTTTGATTTTCCAGTAATGGAAGTTTATCTTTGTACCTGAGTTTTTGAATCTGTGTCTGATTTAAGTATGAGTAGGGCAGGCAATATGAGTTTCTTTTAACTAGATGATTTTCAGTGTTTTAAGTATTGTTATTCTTAGCAATCAGAAGAAGTCTTCCTCTTTGGAAACATATAAAAGATTGATGAGGCAGCTTAGGAATCTCCAACTAACTCCAAAAAACCACAGTAAGCTTTTCTTTCCCATTACTTTCTTAGGACTTCCTGAGCTAAGGGAGAAAAAAAATATGGTGGATCGTTCAAAACCGCTTCCTACTTCCCTTCAGAATGAGTTTATCCCTGAGGAAGTTCTTCTTTCTCTGACCTCTGCAGCCTCTGCTGGTCCTTGTCCTGAAAACTTACTGCCTCCTAAGAAAATTAAAACCCCAAAGGTGTGTATATATATGTAAAGTACTTAGAAACATTTATCCTTTTGATATCCAGTTCATTATGTATGTATTGAACATATGTTATATATTCCAGATTGTCTTAAAATTTTTAAAAATTAATTTACTATATTGAAAACTAAAATCTTTTGCACGTATTTCCAAGGGAATGCTCGAGTATTTCCATTAACCTGTTTTTATGCGATTTACCTAAATGATCACTACTACTATTAGTCTTGATGTATTCTTTCACTATTAAATTGTTCTAGTATCAGTCTTTCTCCATAGGATTGAATAAGAATTTTGCTTTCCTTTTTTTCTGTAGAATAAGCAAGTCCCCTTAATGTAAATACTCAAAACGATTCAGAAAATTTAATTTGACTAGTGCGCCCTCTGCTGTGCATTCGCGTTTTTGCTTTTTCCCAGGGCACCCTTCCGCGCCCTGTTGACCACGTCTGGCATCACCCGGTTCGAAGGAATAAGTTCAGATACCTGATTGACCATCCCGTTTCCCTAACGGGAGCCGGAAGGTAAAGAAAGAAGATGAGGGGCGGGGAGTTAGATGCAGATGAATAGAATCATTTTCTCATTTCATATGATTTCGTTGAGAGGGGCAGAATTGGAAAAATCACAGAATCAAACATTTTAATGCTTGTAGTATCTTTGATAAATCACGGTATAATCTGAAGAGGGCACAGGACCACCTTTTTGTGTATACTTATTATAAGTAGGATGGCAATAGGTGCAGGCTGCACCCACTTGGAGTTTGTTTAAGTTTTCTTTTTGCATGCCTTTGTGCAGCTGTCCGCTTACTCTCCTCTTCCTTGTTGTACCCTAGTACAGCAAGACCAGAGAGGCAGGATGATTTCAGTGTCTGTTATTTGTACATCTGGGAAGAGCCAGATAACTAGCTTCAAGATGTGGAAAACCTTGAAAAACAAGTGCTTAATCCCTGGTTTTCCTCGGAGCGAACCCTTAACTTTCACAATATTTCAGATCAAATCGGCAAATGCTATTTGAAGTTTTTATATAATTTCTCAATTACATAATTTCTCAATTATATAATTTCTCATTTTCCATAATGGTCTCTTTTATCAATTTACTCCCTGCCTGCTTCTTACTGAAATGTCACTTCATCGGAAAGAAATGTTTAAACTTACTAATACTTGGGTAAGTTATTTAGTCTTTCTGAGTTCCATTTTCTTATTTGTAAGAAGGGAATAATAGACTTCCTCCATTTTGTGTACCTCCTGGGAGTATAGAAAGAACAAATGAAATAACGGATCGAACCCTTGTAAA